CCGAATGCATGCTATGAGATCAGAAATAAAAAACAATTTAAAGAGAGAAGACATTAGTAACGCCACAAAAAAGACTAAAATGGAATGAGTTTACAAACAAGAGTCTAAGCCTTACATGGAAAAACTTTTCCCAGAGCGGCTCAAAAGGGAACATCCCTGGAGTCAAAAACATGAAAGCAATTTTCGGGTTCTTTGGTTGAGTAGGATTTAGGTTCAAAAGTTCTTTAATTACAACTTGGGCTGCATTCTCATCATCAGTTAACTCCCTCAGAGGAACAAATGGAAACTGCCGTAAGATAGCACAATCGGAAGTAGAAAAGATGTAGCAGGACGTCCAACCTCTAGGCGCGTAAATGTAGGCACCAATTAGACATATACTCACCAAAGAAACCAATATAATAATCCACTTTGGGCCCTTAAAATGGGACCGCTGTCGAGACCCAGACATAATTAAAATATCTATTATACCCAGAGGCCATGCACTATCTGTCTTCACTCAAGATGAAGCCATCAAACTGACATCTCAAGGCATTATTTCCTCCCTTCATCTTATAATCTGGCAAATTCAAAATCAACTTAGAGAAGACCATGCAACAAGCGTCAAGATATACCATAAATAGTGCAGTAATTAGAAATGAACAATGACAGAACACAAATAAATAACTGAAATGATGCATCTATTGTGAATATATGCTAGGAGAACAGTGTAAGATATAAATTAACTTGAGAACATTTTTAACTCTTAAAAATCTTGTAGCAACTGGTTTCAAGTAGATTAGGAAACTGAGAACAGCAAAGACCATATGATCTTTTACTTGGAATACGGCTGGTTCTCTTGGTTTAACCACTCTTGTATATAGCATGGTTTTCTAGGGGGAAAAGCGCAATCAGACATCAATTTCTGAAAAAGCTTTTTGTCCGTTACAACTCCAAGGCAAATGTACCTCACTTGCATTCAGTACTTTAGCATATTAAGGAAAGTAACATCTCTTCAGCATGGTCATATACTTCCTTTACAAACAGTGATCGTCATAGTACTACCCATTTTCTCGCTCTAAAATACCAATCACGCGTCACTAACAAGTATAATCACCAGCAAGAAGTACGAATGCAATAAAAGTAAACAATTTCTTGTTATGAGAGCAACTGGCTTATAAAATATAAAACTTCTTATTCCCATATTTGAAATTCCCATCACAGAAGAATTTCAATTTCAGAGGCATCGAAAAAATCATAACTATTAACCTCTCGCCAAAATAACACGGTCAAAAAATCATCAATCGAACCACCCTCTCAGACTAAGCGCTCGACAGAATAAGATAATTAAGGAGAATTTCCAAATAAACGGCAACCATAAAAAATGCCAAAAAGAAAATAACAGAAAAAAAAAAAAAAGAACAACAAAGTCCAATGACGATTGAATGACATGGTTTCTGAAAATAACGAGCGATTCTAGTTTTCAAGCAATGAAGGGCTTAAAAAATGACTTCAAAACCAGATATCAACTAATCAAGAGAAACAACGGTAAAGATATTTTGATCAACTGTAGCTTACCGTGGGGTTCTGGATATAAACTCCGAGCCGAGACGTAGATCACAGTACTTGGAGATCTATTAAGAAAGATGAAATTAATAACAGTAAATAATTAACGATATTAACTTATTAATTAACAATAAACAACGGGGGGACCGATACTACCTCCTCTCTCGCTTGAAACACTGTTGCAGGAGATTAATGGCATTTTTTTTTTCTCTCTCTGTTCATGCAATTAATTCCCCTCGTATCAGATATGTCTGTGTGCATCTCTGTACTGTATTTTATAGGAATACTTCAGTCTTCTTCCTCTTCCTCCTTTTTTTTTTTTTTTTTTTTTTTTTTAACTTTCCTTTAAGTCATACCCTTTATTATTCCAACAATGTACTTGGTGTGCAATAAGAAGTTACGATATTGCCCTTGATCCTTCGAATGTTAAAATTTGTTTGGTACTCGGCCTTCTGTATGAACTTGAAAAACGGTGGCGTTTTTGTTCTTTTTGGGCCTAATAAGAAAATTCGCATAGTTGGTATTGAAAACTGTTTGCATATTTTAAAAGTCTTTTGGAAAAAGAACATTTCTTTTTTCAACATTATCATTTAATAAATGTTGATTTTTAAGGTAAAAAAAATCTTCAAAATGTTGATTTCAAAGTTTAAAAGTCCAAGAGAAGGGTTGGTTGTATGGTAATTTAATTATTTCTTTCACTTTCGGGCCTTCAGGCTTTTTCTTTAATAAATTTAATGTTTTATCATATTTATAATCAAGTCTATCAATTTAAAAAAATCAAATCCAATTTTTTTTTCGATTTAATTCAGTGATTACATAGTTAACATAATTGTTATTAAAATTGTTCAATTTTCCAGATTTCGTGTGCGTTTTTTTTTAATTATATATATATATATATATATTTGTTTAACATTCACTGTATGCATTAGATTTTAGTAACTAATGAATGAATTTGTGCATATACATATAGAAATGAAAAAAAAAAAATCAGAAATGCTTTCACAAATAAATGAATAATCCGTACGTTGTGATTATGCTTATAAAATAAATTTACAATAAATAAAATAAAAAGTAAATAATAATTATCAAAATTTGACTTGTTATTTGATTTCTAACAAGTCAAAAAGCTTATATGATTGCTTTTTGTATAAACTCACCTACTATTAATATGATAATATTACTATCAGAGGATATAGATCATTAATATCATGTTGAAATAAGAGATGTTGTATATATATATATATATATAAATTCATGGGTTGGATATATATTTGAGGCCATGATGGGATAACCCTCATCCATAAACATATTTACTCTACAATTATTGCATGTTTAGACATTATAATAATTTCTGATTACTGAAAAAAGTACTAAACACCATAAAATGATTTACTAAGCAACCTTTTTTTGACAGTCATATCATTATTCTTATATGAAAATATTGGTTGTCTTTCTTTGTTTGGAAAAATATTTCTATGCTAAAATAAATATTTATCTAATAATATTATTAATTTATTAAAATTATTTTTTAAATAATCTAAATATAATTTAATTATTTAATAAACAATAAAAATAAATTTAGCATTTGAAAACAAAAAACAAAAAATATTATAAACTTTTGGATAATAACTTAATAAATATAAAAAATATTTAGGTGGTTAAAGTCAAAGTTATTTTTAAATGATTTAGTAATGGATCATTAAATATAAGCAAGCAAACCATATTTCATTCAAAAAAGAAATAAAACATATTTTCTCCACAATCTAGACACTTATTCCAACGTCATAATTGGGATTTACTTATATTAACTAGACTTGTTCTTTAAAAAAAAAAAAACTTTAATATAGCATAAAATATAAATTTCATCTCAAATAAAATTAATTTTGTCTTAACTTTCAATAAGAATTTTTTAATAATTGAAACGAACACACAATGACATAATATGTCTTTGGAAAAATATATATATTATTTTTTAATGGTTTTAAGTAGAGTTAAATTACGCATTTAAAGTAAGTTTTTTTTTTCTTTAATTTGGTTTTGATATCTTTTATTAACCACTTTTAAATTAAAAAATGTTTTACTAATTTTTATCTAAAAAAGACATCAGTATATATATGTTTATATATATATATATATATATAGAGAGAGAGAGAGAGAGAGAGTAGGGAATAGTCTTTTCCACATCATTGAAAACTATTAACTATTTTTTTTTTTAAAGAAGAAAGTTGAAAATATGACTTAATAATAGGAATATTATCGAATTTGAAGTAGTTGAATTTTGTACTTTTATAAATTAATTTGAATCATATAAAATGTGTATAAATTCTATTTATTTATGTAATGCCTGGGTTTTTTTTCTTTTTAATAGTGTAATTTAAGACAATTTTATGACCCAACACGTAAGTCTCATGTCAAATCAATCACACACAAAGAAACTTTTTTACACTTTATTATTCAAAATTAATATAAACTTGCAATTCTACATATACATCACAGGATAATATAATCTCATACACTTCCAGCAAACACTATCCATACTATTATAAACTTTTACATACTACAATCCATCCACAAAGAGAATCTTTGTCATGTGGCGCTATATACTAGACTCGAAAACCAGCAACTCAAATTCCGGCTCCATCCCTACTTCATCTGTTAATGATAAAGAATGAGTTCACATAACTGAATACGGTAAAATTAAGTTGCAAGTATAATATACAATAACAGAAAATTCAGTATGTCTATATGCATTCCATCTACACAACGTAAGTCATACCTTAGAGCCACTATAGGACTATTCATCATTAACTTATCCCGAAACTCTAGTTATGGTTACCAGTAGCACATACAACAACATAAAATCCAGTATTCCCATATGTACCATATCTATACAACCTAAGTCCTACTTTAGTACTACCCTAGGACTACACAGAATCAACTTGTCCTGGTAAGTTAGTTATATTCCATATCAAATGTGACCACCTTCCGAAGTCACCCCATGAGTACAAATGTTCTCACTCGTCACCAATATCGATGACCAACACTCAATCTTCTACCTCTCGACCCCTAATAGGCCACACACATACACAGATACCATCCTCTCCCGTCACCAACATCGGCGACCCAATCCCTTGCCCGTCGGGGTCTCCTGACCATCACCACTATCGGCGATCAACCTACTTTTTCTAGGTAATGACCACCAATATCGGCGTCCCCCAATGCTACCAACTCAATGACCATACCATCCCGTACTCGTTTCATCATGTTATCTTGAGGCT